TTCAATTTTATTTGGTATGCATTTGTAGCAACAGCATGATAACATTTATTTGTTTTTATTTGCGTTTTATATTCATATTGATAATTCACGTTTTGTCTTGGATAATAAAGCACGGTTATGCATAATAAATTGTATGCATAATATTCACTATCACTGTATGAGGTAAGAATCAACAGCTTTTTATCACATTTACACAACACTTTATGAATACAAGTCATGAACAAATCTTAAATATGGCAGGGGATGTGTTTACTTTTTTTGTTTTGATTTTTAGCAGCAAATTTGGAGTTACATATTGGTGCTCACCAGGAATGCATAGGCAAAATTGCACAAATTTTCACTTGAAAGAATAGTGGCGATCTTGGGATTTTTTTCTGTTCAATTTTCAAACTGTGTAAATTTAATACACTTCATCTTCAGCATGTTTAGTGCCACTTTTGTAAGTAACCACGCCCCCGTCCAGGCCACGCCCCCGTCCAGGCCACGCCCCTTCCGCTTTTTTCATCACTCGCCATTGCCATGTATGCTTATTGGGTTGTGCATGTTGAACGATCACCTGTGTGCTTCACAAAGCCTTTCAATGCTCATCAGCATCCTCAAGTGCTGACATGAACTCATGACATGAACTCAATGTTGTTATTTTTTTCTCTAAATGAACAATGTTCTACTGTATGCATATGTTTCAGTCCCAGGATGAGAGTGTCCTACATTGTCTTTTCAGCCCAAGCAGTTGTAATCCTGCCATTAACCGGAGACAGGTAGTTCCTCCTCCTTGTTTTCCAAAATGGAAAAACACAGATAACCAGATCACACAGAAACTGACCTCATTTCAGTGCTGTGTACATTTTACACAACCTGGTTTCTGGATTCCCAGGTCCAAGATCGATGAGGGTTTGACTAAACTGAGCCAAATCAACCCCGCTGGTGAAACATACATGCACGAAGGCTTGAAAGCAGTACGTATACACCGTCGTTCATTTTAGTGAGGAAGCAGACCTTTGAGAAATTACGTTGAATTGGTTCTGTTCAAAGTAAAAAAAAAATAATAATAATTATAATAATATGACTCCATTGGGAACAGACCTTCAAAAAGACCAACTATGTTCATCTAACTTTGTTTGGGGAAAAAAAAAAAAACTCCACTCTTGTAGATGCAGCTCCAAGTGATCCCAATGCAAGTTGACTGTGACAGCGAAAAAGTGGAAAAGAAAAACACGTGTATTCCTTGACTATCGACTTATGAATACAACGCCCATGACAGATAAAATTGTATCATCCATTAAAAGACAACAAATGAATGAGTCAGTGTCATTGCGCAACGTAGATGCACATGCAGTTTACATTTGGTTTGCGCTCGTCAGGTGTCGGAGCAGATGAAGACGCAAACGTCGCCGTCTCGCAGCATCATCATTGTTCTGACCGACGGCAAACTGGAGGTTTACCCTTTTGAGCTGAGTGTGCAGGAGGTGACACACACACACACACACACACACATTTACTTGGCTTAAACTAAACCGTCTTGTATATTCTATGTTTCTTCATTTGCCACAATGCCGCTACTTTATTTATACACTACTCACAAAAAGTCAGGGATATTTGGATTCCAGGTGAAATTTTAAGAAAGAGCCTAACATGCATTCAGACCTTTACAGGTGAACGTAATGTAAACCTTTGAATGCACATGTCCAACTGTTAAATACTTCATTACTTTTTGCACGTTCCTTAAAACGTGCCTGGAGTTGAGTGGCATTCATCATCTGGTTTCTCCGGGCATTGTTCCTAATGTAGCGGTGATCAGCATGGGTTATGGCCAAAGGATGTCCATTTCTTTCTGTGACTCTTCCAGTCTCTCGGTATCTCTGTTGCAACCTGCTGATGACACTCTAAGCTCAGTGGCCACTTCCGTCCGAGAACATCCTGTTTAAAGCATCTCAATGACAAAGTACTGTTGATGCATTGTGAGGTGTCGTCTTTGTCTCATGATGTCAGAATGTGAACAGCATGACGAGGACGACTGTTTATACACCAGCTCTCGGTGAACCAGGACATTTATTGGTCGATTCAAAGAACATAAGCCTGTTGTGAATTTTGCCATTAAGATCCTTGTTTTAGAACAGCAACTTGTGCAACAAGTACCAAAACATTTAACGGTCTGACATGTGCATTCAAAAGCTTTGAGAAGGTCACATTAACTGTAAAGGTTTGAATGCATTTTAGGCTCATCCTGAAATTTCATCTGAAAACCAAAAATATCCCTAAATTTTTGGATATTAATTTTTACTGTTTCAATTCATTTAATTCCAAGCATATATTATTAGTCTTGGTGTCCCCTTCTGGTCTTCGACTTGATCTGACTCCCTGCTCGTGTTGCCTCCAGGCTGACAAAGCTCGAGGTTTTGGAGCCCGAGTGTACTGTGTCGGGGTCATGGACTTTGACCACAAGCAGGTAGGAACTTGACGATCTTTTTACTCGGCCACACAGAGGGGTTTATTTGTCTCCCGGCGTGTGTCTGTGTGTGTTTGTGTTTTTGGGCTTGTCAGTTGAGGTCCCACTTCAAGAAGAATAAAGAACAACGCAAAAGGCTTTGAAGCTCAAGGGTGACGGGAGTTTTGTGAAAACATTGTAAGGGAACATGTTTTGACTCAGATACTTGGACATCTCCCTGTGCGTTTGATTGTATGTATGCCAATGGCTACATAGATGAAAGGCTCAAGTTTAATACTTTGTCCAAAAGGTCAATGGCGCGCTTCACAAGTGATTTTTGAATCCGAAACCGCTTTCACACTGCCCAGCAAAGGACGTAGACAGAAACGGAGGGTTGAAATTCGCTTGTAAATTTCTATCCACGTTTTGCTCAAAGCGACTGACGCTGTTCAAACACACACACACACACACACACACACACACACACACACACACACACACACACACACACACACACACACACACACACACACAAATGTCCCACATTGGTGACCATCACTGACTAACTTACTGGTCTAATGCTAGCACACAGCTAACAAAATGCTAATACTCATGCTAACAAAATGCTAATACCAATGCTAACAGAAGTGATGTTGATGTCTTGTTAGTTTTTATCCTTGTCGGAATTTGAACACAAAAAGTGAAGGAATACATCTCGACAGACTCGCAAGGATGTATTCTTTATCCTCTGCGGGAAATCGCAAATAATATTGCAGCATACTAAATCGAGAAAAACGTATTTTAGTGTGATGTATGTCTGTATTACTCTACCCCCTGGTGGCCAGGTTGTGCACACCGGAAGGAGCGCAATGTCAATGGGCCGTAAAGCATGAAATCCTGATCACAAGCTGCTTGCTGATTTCCTGTTTTTCCATTTTATTTTATTATTGTTTTTTTTTTTTTTTTTTATGATGACAGTCCAGAAGTGTTTTTCATACAAATACGGTGTTTACTGACTTTATAACTGTTTGCTGCATGGCCTGATGATGAATGACGTCTTCCGCAGTTAACATGTTCACCTCGGACTGATGACCCAGAGTGCTTTGTGGTTTTGGAGGAGGAAGTCATTAGAGTGCTCTAATTAAATAAAGCCAGATGAGCTTCCTGCCGAGCAGGAGATGAAAGGTTCTCATGTCATTTTCCTCCTCAAACGCAGCTGGAGATAACAAGTCAGCCACTGAGTGATTGCTGAAACGTAAACTAGCATACATGCATACGTTCTGCGTTAACAAGCTAAGGTTGTCAATTGTTTGTCTTTGTTCTGCAGCTTGCTGAAATAGCAGACGGCGCCCAGCAAGTCTTCCCGGTGTTGTCGGGCTTTCATGCGCTCAAAGATGTCGTCAGCTCGGTGAGCTTTGATCACAAGGCGGTGCAAGCCATGCTTGAGCAGTGCGGCGAGACCACATGTAACTCTTCACCCCTTTTTGACTTGGACCCGCTTCTCCATTCAGATCCTAAAGCAGTCCTGCTCAGAAATCTTCACGATAGAACCCTCAAGTGTTTGCGTCAATGGTATGTGAAATAAACGCGTGTGCGGTGATTCCTTATAGTAACATCACAATGACGATAGTATGGGCATTTTTCTGCAGAATCTTTCAGCGTGGTGCTGAGAGGAACTGGCTTCAGTGGATCCAAGAGAACAGACAACGTTCTCTGCTTCCTCACAGTCGGCCAGGACACATACAGTGAGTTAAATGTGTTTTAAATGAGGCCTAAATTAACCCTTTCATGCACCCTGTAACCTGATAACATGATCAGCTGTCCACTGTAGTAACTGTCCAACCGCTGTCCCTGAAAGGGTTAAGCAGTGCCCCGGTTTCTTGATAAAAAGTCTAGAACAATTACCGTATTTTCCGGAGTGTAAGTCGCAGTTTTTTTCATAGTTTGGACAGGGGTGCGACTTATACTTGACTTAACTGAGAAAAACAATTGACGATGACTCTGACGTAAGCGACGTAGAAGAGGAAGCGCTGCATCTTCTACCTCCGGAGTTGGCAGAGTTGCTTAAAAGTGACACCGAGCATGAAGATTTCATTGGATTTCGCGATTTGGACGCTGATGGTTTGGTAAATTTGTTAGCATGTTCTTTGTGCTATAGTTGTCTAAATAACTCTTAATATGTTACGTGAACATATCAGGCACATTCATAGTTCGTTGTTTAAGCATCATGTAACATTAGCATATCGTACACTTATTCAACCTGTTGTTCTCTAGTTTTATTTTAATTTTAAATTGCCTTTCAAGACGACATCTATGTTTTTGGTGTTGGTTTTTATCAAATAAATTTCCCCCAAAAATGTGACTTATACTCCAGTGCGACTTATATTTGTTTTTTCCTTCTTAATTATGTATTTTTTTGGCTGGTGTGATTTATAATCCGGAGCGACGTATAATCCGAAAAATACGGTACTGCACACTTCTAGTGGTCACACTTGTTTTGGCGGGTTGGTGCTGTCTCATGCAAATGAGCATGTTTATTTGTTACCATGACGACTGGTGGCAGAGCTCTGGCATGTGTCAAAGCATGTCTAGTCTTTTGTTTCCAATTTAAGGTTCTTTCATATGATTTGCGCGGCATTCATCTCAACGTTGGGCGCAGATGGGATGCTGGCCTGGTTCAAGCTTGCCAAATTTGTTGATGGTTGCTAAAGGAAGTAGCCTCGAGTGTCTTTTGCTCTTTGAAAGTATCGTCACATCTCAGCGATCTAAAATTGTCAGGCCTCCCTGTGTGGAGTTTGCATGTTCTCCCAGTGCCTTGGTGGGTTTTCTCCGGATACTCAGGTTTAATCCCACATTCCAAAAACATTTATGGTAGGTTAATTTATCACTCTAAATTGTCCTTAGGTGTGATTGTGAGTGTGAATGGTTAGTCTATATGTGCCCTGCGATTGGCGAGCAACCACTTAGTCAGCTGGGATAGGCTCCACCATGCCCGTGACCCTCGTGAGGATAAGTGGATCAGATAATGGATGGATTTTAGGCCACTCCTTAGCTAAACAAAGCAACAATTTGATGTATACAGCACTACAGCGTTGTTCTTTCGCAAATGTACTTGTAGTTGTACTCCATCGGATCGGCATGTTGTGACCCGTTTTAAAAAGCTGATGTACCTCTCACCTCCTAACGTTAATTCAAAGACAAGCCAGATCAGGGTTTATTGTTACTGACTGTTGGGATTAATGTTCAGCTTGTTGCAAACATTGCTTTAAACTGTTGAGCATTCTGGTTCTCATGCAGCCTCCTGAAATGCAGCTACGCCATCATCATCTATTAAATAATGCAAACTCCAGGGCTGTGTGCTGCAAAGGACAGTCAAACAGTAGCTGCCTTTTTAACGACGTAGACAGAGAACAGAGGAGGCATTATGAGACTGACGGGAATGAGGGAGGGAGGATGAGACTCTATTATAAGATACATGGTGGATTAGTTGAGAAAAGGACACGGCACCACATGACTGGATCAAGTTTCTCGTCTTCTTGTTTATTTCATTTTATGATCCCAACAATCATGCAAAATCGAAACTGCAAACACCTCACAGAATCGAAAATCATGGCCAATCAAGCATGGAAAGTGACATTTTCTTGCTTGTTTCTTCATAGGCCAAAAGGCAACGCTAGTGAGAGATGGTCATCTGCTGTGTCCTGCTCCAGTGCTACATGAGGTCGGAGAGTAAGTGCCACACGCTCAAAAAATGGCGGCAAATAAAAATAAACCTATAAGAGGAAAATACAGCTAGCATCTAGCATGTACACAACCTTGAATCCATGTTACATAGATGACTCTATCTGTAGCTAATTTAGGAGGATAGATTCTTGCCCCTACAAAGTCTGTGAATACACAAATTTGTAAAAACTGAACCACAATACATAAGGGTTCATTGAATCATTAGAATCCAATTCTTGCCTCTTTAGCCATAATATTAAGAGACATACGGTTTTTTTTTTCACAATTTACCAGGACAGTCTCATGCAAGTGAAGCAGGAACTCATGAAGCCCAAGTATTTTTATACAAACAATAAAAAAGTAAATTTTTTTTTTAGGAATTGTGAGTTTGAATCCTCGCTCAGGCCTTTCTATGTGGAATTTACATGTTCTCCACATGCCAGCCGGGGGTTTCTTCGGGTACTCCAGTTTCCCACATTACAAAAAAAAAAAAAAAAGTACATGGCAGGTTAATGGAACACTCTAAATTGTCCCTAGATGTGAATGTGAATTGTTTGTCTATGTGTGCCCTGTGATTGGCTGACACCCAGTTCAGGGTGTCCCCCACCGACTGCCCGAAGACAGCTGGGATAGGCTCCGGCATGCCGTGAGGATGAGCGGCTCAGATAATGGATGGTGGTTGGATGCAAGGATGATGTTCCCTTTGGGCGAAAACAAATGTAATAAAGTTGTTTCGCTGACAGGAAACAAAGAGAAATTACAAGTCATGACTGAAGAAGTGTTCCAGAAGTTATAGTCATTCTTTGGACATAATCACACGCCTTTCCTCCTCATCTAGCCAAGAGTGAATCTGGAGCGCTGCTCCAAGAGTGAATCTGGAGCGCTGGCTCTTTTTATGACATCACCTCATCCGTATTTATCACAGCATATTTTGCTCAGGACACAAGTTCAGACCCAAATGGTCAAAAGATGCATTTTTGTTTGAATACCTGGGGAATTTTTTTACAGTATTTAAGCTAAAACGACCTGCAAATCATTTTGATTACAGTTCATGCATAGACTCGCAATGCCTGGAACTTGTTCAGCTCATTTGGGACATGGCTATGGAAGACCAAAATGACTTGCTTGCAGTGAAAAAAAAATCTATTATTGAACTCAAGTAGACAGTCCTAAACATTTCCCTCTGATGTGCAAGAGGTACTGTGCTCCTTGCACCCCACATTGAAAAGGAACTACAAACGCAAAAAGGGAAAATACATCCTCTAGCCGCAAGTCAACAATAAAGGTGGCGCATGTGTTTATTGTGTGTTACGTTTTTGCAGAGCCGTTGAGGTGCTGATCAGTTTCAACGACGGGCAGTCGTACATTTCTGCTCCCATCACCATCAACGCCACAAACTGTGTGAGTATCTGTCTTACATCACATACGAAGAAAACTCACAAATGGGCGTGGATCTGCAGTTAGTGCCGTTATTCATCGTGTATGTGAATTTCCAAAAAAAAAAAAAAAAAAAACTTTCATCAACCCACAGTCAAGAATGTTGGCATTTTTATTCTTTTATCAATACGTGCATCTGAATAAAGTCGAACAAGATGCAAAGCTTCATTCATACAGTCATTAAATTTTAAACGATGAATATAATTGAAATGAGTCATTCTAGACTTGGCTTTCTTTATTCCTGTAATCGCAAGAATATATTTTTGGGGGTCTATGTGTCACAGTCAAATGGGATCTGGGTGTTGTGGCTGCTCTTGGCTCTTTTGCTGTTGCTGGGTTTTGGCCTCCTTTGGTGGTTCTGGCCTCTGTTTTGCACTGTGGTGAGTGTGTACGCATATTTGGCAGCACAAACCCGTGAACTCCAAGAAACACGTTGGGAAGTCACTGTTGGTTTTCCTCACTGCAGGTGATTCGAGACCCACCGCCGTCTCGCCCTCCTCCTCCTCCTCCCCCGCCTGTACTCGTGAGTAGAACACGGGGAAGAAAAGAATAGAATAAAATTGATAATCACTTGGTACCAGTCGACGAACTGTGCGTAATTGATTATTAGTGAGTCATTCATAATTACAGGTCTTTTTGGGGCTGACTTAGCTCTTGCAATGAAGGAAACAGAGCAACATTGGCATCTATCGATTATTATTGGTACTGCAACTGAATGCTCATTGGCAGTCTACCAGTGAATTCAATTGACATGAAAAAAACCAACTCTTAAAGAGAGAGGTGCAGTTTAGAATGGGAAGAAGAATGGCCAAAAACCTGTACAGAAATTAGTACACGTCCTGCATGATGTATGCATTCGGCCAACTCTCATCTTGTGTCAGAAATGCTATTTAAATAGCTGTAGAAGCAATTCCCGATGATAGAATATAGATGTATCTCAATAAATGAGAATAATGTGGAAAATCAAATTCACTTCGGTCGCTCAAGTGATACTCATATTCTGTAATGTACACTGTAGAAATGTCCATCCACCACACATGTTGAAATATTACAAATTCTGATAATTTCGTAGAAATGATGTATAATCTGAAAACACGGACACATTATGTAAGAAATGATTGAAATCCAAATTATGTCAAAAAAGTGTAAAAATAGAGTTCTGAAAGTATTCAATGGGTGTGTAATCTGAATTTGACTCCGAACTGAGATACTGAAATATATGAATGAATGAATTGAGATGCACCCCGACACGAAAAGAGAATTGTTAAAGTATTATGAAAATGTGCTGTGAGAATGTAGTCTTTGATGTTTTTGTGTTCTTTATATTGCTCTTATTGTTTAGGAGCAAAAGGAAGACTTATTCCCCAAACACAAGTGGCCCACAGTGGATGCGTCATACTATGGGGGTAGAGGCCCTGGTGGAATCAAACGCATGGAGGTGATTTTAAATGTGTTTGAAATATGAAGAACAAAGAGCATTAGCCATTCCCCTTCTATCATGTTTGTCAAATAAGCTTTTCCTGATATTATTGCAAACCTGTCAACCTCGGCTAATAGCTGCCCTTAGAAATGATTACGATTCCCCTTACAAAGCAACGAAAACTCGTACAACAGCGAACCGCGCATGCGCACATCATGCTTTATCAATTCGACCGTACGCAGCGATGAAAAAAAAATATACGATTGAGGATGACTTTTGCTGGTTTGCCGTGACAATAGTAGCGATCGATGACGGCATTGTCGTTGGCTACCAGCGGGTGAGACGATCTGGATTTGAGCCAAAATGGTCTTTGTGAGATCGGTTCACAATTGTTCTTTTTTTTTTTTCCCCGTATAAAAGTTGTAATACGCCGTACATGATTTGAAAATGATTAAAAAAATGTATAAAATATGGGGAAAACGTACAAGTTGACAGGTATGTTATTGGCTTTTGAGCAGAAGCCTGAATGATTTGTGTTTAATGCTGACTGCTATTTTGAACGGTTCTATAATTCCCTCCAGCTAGTCTAAGGCCGCAGGTCCAGAAAAGCAGGCCCAGATCCTGATCCCGCCACCATCATGCTTTTCTGATGATGATCTTAAACATACCTTTTGGAATTATGGCGAAAAAGTTTCATTTTGGTTTAATTGGATCATAACATCTTCAGATCGGGCCTTGGACAAGGTGGAGGGAAGTATGAACAGTTCCATATTGCAGTCAGTGTCTGCAAAAAAAAAAAAAACCCTTAATCACCGCATATTATTATTTGGGATTAATCAGAGGCACTTTAAATGGTGTGACGTGTTCACATATTATTGGTGAATGCTGAACACAAACATATTCCAGGCATAGGAGGGTGTGCGCACTTTTGCAAAAAATGTTATTTCAGCTGTTTATTTTTCCTTACCATCTTGAAGAGTGTTGTCAGTTGAGTTGTACAAGTCATCCGTGGTGGTAAAAGGACTGAAACGATGTATCTTATATTTTTTATGTCACAAATTAACTGACATTTGAATCGGGGTGTGTAGACTTTATTTTTGTTTGTTTTGAAACATCCACTGAATGAACTTTACCGGTATAGGTCCGATGGGGGCAGAAAGGCTCCACGGAGGAAGGCTCAAGGCTGGAGAAAGCCAAGAACGCGGTGGTCACCATGCCAGATGAAGTGGAGGACGAGGCCATCGTACCTCGACCACCGCCAAGGCCTCCGCCCGTTTACAACCCCCTGCCAGAGCCCAAATGGTACACGCCCATCAAGGTGAGCCGTGCAGTGATCATTCCGGTACGCATATCAAACCTTTGAGAAGCATCCATGCAAGTCGTGTCTTTGTTTTTGACGTGATGCCGCAGGGTCGTTTCGATGCATTGTTGGCATTGATGAGAAGGCAGTACGACAGAGTGGCAATCATGAGGCCGTCACCTCGTGATAAGGTAAGACATTTACTCTACATGTAACTCATCGTGACGTTATCAAAAAATACTTTTTGGTATCACTGTAGTACATTGACTTGATTGCTCACGATGTGACACTTTATTCTATTGGTTGGTATTCTCTTGTTGGTGGATCTGGAGGTTTTGTTCGCTGGATGTTGCAATCATTCAAATCATTTCATTACAACGGTAGTGAACCTTTATAACAAACATTTTCAGTTAAATTAACTAATTGAAATAAGTATTCCAATTTATTGAACGCATCTTTTGCCACTGCACTGCATTCATTTGATAACATTAAGGTTTTTCTTTATTTCATATTTGATGTATATTGTGTATTGTATGTTCAGCATCTATTGAACGGATGTACCTTAGTCTATATTTTTTTTTATTCTTTAGATCCATATTTTTCCAAATCTTTGAGTTTTTTTTTTTTCCCCAAACGCTTGATTAAATTTTTTTCTCCCGTATTTTACCGCATTGGTCTTTATTGTCCATAGGGCCGCTGCATCAACTTCACGAGAGTTCACTGAGACACCTGAAACGGAAACGAATTACAGCATTACTAGTTTAGACCAAAGACATATTATATATACTGTGTGACGAAAATGTAAATAATTATTAAATGTTTTTTTTCTTACATTTATCCTGATGTCATTTTTCTCCGAAATCTTTCACTTGTTTCTTTGCAAAACAAAAGCACCCATAGTGTGCTATTTTTTTTAAACTTTATTTTATTGTCTTCTCACAAAGACTTCATTCAGTACAGGCACCAAGAAACACGAAATACACAGGAAAGACTGAACAAGCATACGAAAAGCATTTTATAAAACATTTAGACCATAAAAAGAGCTTTTTTTTTAACATGTAAAAAAAAAATGATGCAGATGTCCCCTTGTCATGAAGAGAGACATGGAGGATGACTTGTTTCCTATTTGTGTTAAAGCTGTACTCCACACACACTTCTATCAAAAGCTTAGCTGCTGTGTGCAAATTTAAAAAACAACAACACTTTACAAACCAGCACGGTGAATACTTAAGGAACATTCAGTGTTATACTTTTTTTTTTGATACAAAATACAAATTAATACTGTAGGAAGAGGAGTCAATAAGTCCAGTAAGAAAACACAGGTGAAGATGAAGCGCAGCGCTCAGCTTGTACGACATCGCACAACTGGTTCACCGGAACAAAGTTCAAAGTGCCACACAGGAGTTCATGTTAGAGCAATATTTCATTGTTGACATAAAAAAATAAAAATGAAGCGCTCAACAAGACAACAGGGCCGAATGTCCACTTCCTGGTCTCCATTGTGTTGCAATAAAAACAAATTGGTCCTTCAGTGGCTCCTCCGTCACCAGCATACGATTGGAGTGTTTTCATCAGCGATTGCTGAACATGATAGGAATAAGGCAAGTCCGCCCAACCTTTGCGACAAACTCTCTGCATTAAGTGCCTCAGAAGATAAAATGACGAGGCCGTGAAATTACACAGAAAGTGGAATCCTTCAGCATAGGAGGGCTCAAAATCACATATATCAGTTTGCAATTATTAGTCTGTGGAGACTAAATGATTTAACTGAGAAAATGCAGCTTCGGCTGTTCCAGGTCTGGTCCAGGGAATGTACTGTCTAGCTTCAATGTGCTATTTAACATGTTTATTTACACCTGGCAAAGTGGAAGAGATTGTCCTCATGACCGATTCTCTCGATGCAACAGGGAGGATCTAATAGGGGGGGGAAAAAAGTTGAACTTTAATATGAGGGTTCAGCTGGTGTGTGTGTGTGTGTGTGTGTGTGTGTGTGTGTGTGTGTGTGTGTGTGTGTGTGTGTGTGTGTGTGTGTGTGAGAGAGGACTCACCGGAGAGATCGACGACTGTCCTTCTCCATGTTGTTCTCTGGCCCTTCGCTCTCGTAAGAGGCCAGATGCAGCTCTGCACAAACAAATCACCACAGACAACTTTCAGTCATTGTCTCATGGAGGGGGGAATAACTACACACACACACACACACACACACACACACACCCCCCCCCACCCACCACGGAAAAACAAAACCCAAAAAAAAAAAAAAAAAAAAAAAAAAAAGTCCAAATACTAATGTACGTGTCTATCTAATGAGTTAAGCACACAAAAAAAAAGAGAGTGACTGACCGTCTTCGGCAAAAACCGGCGTGGTGACAAGATGCTGGAGGATTCTGCGATCTCTGTCGAACGGGCATATCACTTGACGCCACACCAGGAACTCGCTCACTTGCTTCGCTAGCTCCCAAAGTTTCTGGAAACAAAGAATTTACAATGAGTGTCATGTCCTGAGTTTCAGCGGTTAGCGTTTTATTTACCACAAGGGGGAGCTATTACACTCCTGTGTATGTGAGTGCGCTTATTTAACTCAGGCTGGATTGACATTGGGCCCAACTGAAACGAGTTTTTGAGATAAATGCCGATTCTGCGATTTGGTAGAATGAAAGTCAGATTAATTGGTCAATTCATTAAAACGGACATACAGAGAGTAAAATAAACTCTTTTTTTTGGTCTGTTAATGTTTGCAACAATAAACATATGAATTCCAGACCGAACATATGATGTTGTTCGGTCAGGGGGCAGGGGGATGTTTGCATGTCATTATCTTTGTTGCAATGTCTTAACGTGTAAAAAAAAAAAAAAAATTAATACGGCTGATTTTTGCCCATTTAAAAAAATGCTAATAGCGGCCAATTCATTAGAACAATCCTGATTTCTTGCCTTCAGGTGGAACAATTTGGGCAGCTGCCACAGGAGCGTAAATAGGAAAAAAAAAAAAAACACAGAGTCGTATATCTTTACACCGCAATCCGGCTTCTTCCAAATGTGCATAAAATCTGACGCATAATCAGACACCTGCCAGTGTCTGTGCAGCGCAAACACGCAGATTACATCTACCCAGTTAATGGCAACTAAATGCAGCATTTTGTGACCTATACACACCCGTGTCTGCCCATACGACTCAAATATACTTTAGAAAACATTCGCTTTAAACCTAAATGACAGTAAAAGCATGCACCATTAGTAAATATGATACATTTACATTCGAGGCGTGACCATTATCAGCGAAATAACTGCAGATGGCGGCCGATGGAGAAACGTGGCGTTCACCCTCATTTAAATAAATAGGAGGGAGAGTCAGCAAACACAACGATGGTGTCTCTCTCGAGTGGTGGGACCAACCTCAAAGTTGATGTGTCCGTTGGGCAGCCTGCTGGCACATCCTTCATTCAGGAAGTAGATGTCTTTAATGAGCAGGCTGAAGAAAGGAATCACAATCTTCTCCTGGACGCTGTGTGCGGTCTCAGACCTCTGGGTGGCGCCGCGGAGAGCGGTGCGATAGTTGCTGAAGTTGCTGGACGGGTCCATCTGGTGCTGAATGAGAAACGGACCAATGAGATATTATTAGACATTTGCTAAATAAGCACAAAGCGTTTTTAATGTAACAGCACAGTGGGACGGCCCGGGATGACATTTCGTGCCTGTGTGTGGGTTTTCTCACCTCGAGAATTTCAAACTTGTCGGTGTTGACTTTGCTCCAAGTCTTTTTCAGTCTGGCAACAGGACTCATGTTCATCCCAGCTGAGACACCACAAAAAAAAAAAAAAGATGAGATTAGCACAAGGAGTCCGTTTC